GCTTAATCCCTTCCTCTTCCTTTCACTCCTTATCTTCTGTAAGAGTTTTTGTAATTTCTTTTCTATGTCTGCTATCAATATTGTATCATCTGTATATCTTGTTAACATTTTGGCTGCCAATAAGGAATCCTGAAAAGACTTCTAATTCTCTCAGAATTGTCTTGCTGTAAAGGTTGAATAAGTCTGGTAAGAAGACACATCCTTGTCTTATGCCCCTTTATAGATTTGTTATATCTGCTGAGCTCATTTTTTATCCACATACAAAAGGTTTGCTGTCAGTATAATTTCTTGATTATTCTAATATCCTTGCCAAATATTTTAAAGTTGCTAAGCAATTCTGATAGATCTTTGTGGCGTACTTTATCAAACGCCTTTCTGTAATCCATAAACCACAGGGACACGCCATTCTGTATTTGTATCACTTTTTCTGATATCATTCTGAGCATAAATATTGCATTCCTGTCCAATTTCCGGTCAGATTTTGCAGCACACCCAATTCTTCAGAATTTGGATCATAAGTTTTGTTATATAGTTCATTAAGCTGATTGTCTGATGGAGTTCACATTCATTTACACCTGGCTTCTCAGGCAGTGATACAAAAATCGATTCAGGTATATCACCACTGCTTAATCTAGTAGTACGCTTAAATTCATCCAGTCAAGATGCCATGGAGTTAAGCTCATTAAAACAATTTCCATGAAAACATTTTATAGTAAAAGATACAGGAAAGCTACATTATGGTGTTAGGAAAGTAAGATGCCAGGTCAAGATGGAGCCACAGAAAGTTTTGAAATATGTGTAAGAAATAAGATTTTGAAAGCTCTTTTAAAAATGAAAATATTTTTGATACAAACTGATATAGAACAACAATGATCATATTAAGAATATAGTGAACTCATAATCTTTAGATCTGTATAAGAAATAAGATGTGAAGTAAGGGCCTGTAAAAGAACAAAAATGTACATCTAACATTAAGAAATAAATGGACTTTTTTTCTTTTTACTTACCCGTATAAGAAATAGGATGTAGAGTAATCACCTGTTTACTTACCTGTTTAACAAGTGTACTTAGATTATTTATATCTCCAACTAACTTCCGAACTACCATTTTCATCTCTCCAATCATTTCAAAATCCTGCAATAAGAAACTTTATATTATTATATATATATATATATATATATATATATATATATATATATATATATATATAACTTTCAAAATAAGGAGACCAGTTAAATCTGCTACTTTGGTTTCAACATTACAATAAAAGCTCTACATGTTATTTTTATTTTATTTTTTTCTCACGTGTATTGAGCACTTTTTAATATTACTGCTTCCTGGTCTGATTCAACTATTAACCTTTATATATATATATATATATATATATATATATATATATGTATTTTTATTTTTTTAATTATTTCACCCCAAGCATGGCAGTAAAGCCACTAAGACACAAGGACTTACTGATAGTGGAAGAATAAGAAAAAGAAAAGCATAATTAATGAGTGCGAACAATGAAAGAAGAGGAATCAAGAAGACAGTAGATAACGATTGACATTGCATTTAAATTTTTGAAGATCAAAGTTGGCTGGAAAGCATGGAACCAGAAAAGAGTTCCACAAGTAAGAAGTGTGAGAAAAGAAACTGTTAGCATAGAATTTATGGCTACATCTCACTAATTCAACTGTAAAATGATGAGACCTAACAGCCAATCTAGTACTGTGCTTAAATTCATGAAGTCTAGGTATCATAGCAGAAAGTTCATCAAAACATTTACCATGAAAGTATTTATAAAAAGGGACAAAGAAGCTATGTTACAGTGATAAGAAAACGATTGAAGCCAAGATGCCAGGTCAGGATAAAAAACATTGCAGATTCTTTTTTGGATTTCATCAAGAATTTCTAATTATATAACAAAAGCACTGAACCAGATGTGGCAGCAATATTCAAATCAAGGACTTCAATCAATCGGTAGACTTATAAATATATAAGATAGATTTTGGAGAGAAAAATTCTCACACAACACAGGAAACGAACTTTCCTAACAGCAAATGTAGCAAATGATTCAATATAATCTTTCTACTTTATGCCTGTGGAAAATGTTAGCCTGAGAAAATGCAATGAATCACTCTCTTAGAGGTTATCATCAGCCACACTGATAGAACACAGAATGAGGTGTCTTAATAGCAGTTTAGTTTTGGAGGTGTTAAAATTAACGAGCCATCCTTTGTCCCATTTAACAACAGACTGAAGGTCATTTTTGTCATTAGCTTCCAATTTAAACTTATTAAACTGATCAGACTTTCAGAGAGGAAAATTATCTCACACAACACAGGAAACAAACTTTCCTAACAGCAGATGTAGCAAATGATTCAATATAATCTTTCTACTTTATGTCAGTCTGAGAAAACGCAAGGAATCACTCTCTTGGAGGTTATCATCAGCCAAGGAAAAGGAATTAAGAAGACAGAAGATAATGATTGACATTGCATTTAAATTTTTGAAGATCAAGTGAGAAGTGTGAGAAAAGAAAATGTTAGCATAGGACTCATGATTACATCTAACCATTTCAACTGTAAAATGATGAGGCCTTGCTGCTAATCTAGTACTCTGCTTAAATTCATAAAGTTGATGGGTCAAGTTGTTCTGAATGACATATAATGGAGGACACATAGTGGATGACACATAGTGGAGGACAGGAGTTTTTTTTCTATCTTGCGAGTCACATGTAGTCACATAATGATAGTCAAAAGGGGGATACAAGGGGAGTCACTGGCTGAACAGAAAAGACCTGGTCTGTTAGAAGGAAGTGGCAGTAAAGGTGTCCTGAGTGTCACCCACAGACTGTAATGGATGAATACAGAAATAAGTAAAAGTATATATTGGAAACAAAATTTGCATTTTCATTTATTTCTGTGGTGATGTTTTTCCCCTTTCGTTTCCTTATGAATGTAGACAGAGCTTTTTATGTACATTGAAGTGGATGAGAATGTGGGGTGATTTATCCAGGCAGCGAGAAAGAGGATTGCTGTGTATTTATACATTTCTGTATTGACATCATAATCATCAATCAAACCCTGGATTTTCACCAACAGGCGATGAACAGGGACTCTCCCAGAGAGGCCCCATGCCTTGAGCACCTATTAAGATTTAAACTCAGGATTCAAGTCAAACTTTTACATATGATCCATCGCTAAAGATCCTGGGAAAATGGTTACTTCCCTGTACCACAGTAAGAGTAACACGGTAACTTGTTTGTTAGTGAAGTGTATTTTATATTTCTGGATTTTGGTGGTAACAAGTGGAACACATGGCACAGTGGATAAAGGCATTGGTTAGATCCAGTGACAGGACCCAAAGAGTGTGAGTTCAATACCCGGTTAAGGCAGTGGAGAACTTTCAGAGGGAAATTAACAGGAGATAACTGATAACTGACATCCATTAAACATGGCACATGGAACTAGAACAGTCTACCCCAGTGAGCGAAATAAAGGGTTCGGTTTGACATTCCAACCACCTGAAGGAAGGCCGGAGCGTACAACGGCCGAAATGTTGTGATAGATATGGTGAAAAAGATGAGGACAATAGTCCGAATAATGTAAATAATGTACATAATACCTCATCTCAGAAATATAGACAGACTCTGGAACAGAAAAATTTATAAATTTGAATCTTTTGGTGAAATCATTTTTTCCCAAGAAATTTGATTGTGAAAACATCTGTTGTTCAAAGGACTGCAGATTTTGACAGGTGACAACATTGTTTTGTCTATTACATATTACATATCTGATAAGCTTTTAAGCTTATCAGATGAATATGTAAGGTTGAATGAATATTTAGAATGCAAGATAGCCTTGAAGTTTGGTGATATTTAAAGTCTGGATAAGTTAAAAACAAACCAGAGAAAATGATCCTTTTTTAACCCTATTGTGATCAAAGGAAAGGTAAGAAAACCCATGGGTGGATGTGCGCTTATATATACAGCATATTGGTGAATTGCAGAGAGGCAGACAGCCGAGAGTATCAATGAGAGAAACACATTGAAAATTGGCTGATCAACACACACGCAATTCACACCCACCTGAACTTAATTTCATGTTTGATTCTCTGATTAAAGTTTGAGAATATCCACTTTGGTTCCAAGTTACTATCTAATCCAGAGGTGTTAAGCTAAATCAAACTCTTGTAAATATTCTATCTTTATTTACTCTTATTAAAACTATCATTTTCAACCAAGATCAGGCCTTCTCATAATTCAGACAAGAGCATGACTTTCTTTTCTTCAGTCCAGTTGTCAAAGAAAATACCATGGCTTATTGAATCAAGAGGAAGGACACCTCCCCCTTTTCTTGTCAGTAAGAAGCACAACACTTACCAGCAACTCCAGACAATTGATGACCTAACTGGCATCAACTCCTTGACCAGTTTAAAACTGTATGTAACCAACCTGACCCCACAGCCATCTCAAGGTGAAGATATCTATAATAGGGTCCAAATTGTATGGTTGCATGTCCTTAGGGAATAGAGGGGGTTACATTATATACCTGATGTCTGAAGTACCTGACACCTGCTTTTATTCTCTACCTTTACAAGAAAATGGGGTACTGCTGCCCTGGAACAAACCAGTGTTCACTTTCTAGTCTCTTTGTGGGTGATGAATTATTTTCCACCCTACAACCTCTTTCCTCACAGACGAAATGTTGCAAGTCTTTTGCTGTTTTATCCCTATTTCCATGGGAAGTGTTCAGACAAACTACATTCCCTAGTTCTACCACTTCTAACCTTCATGGATAAGATTCACCATGCCACGCCCATTGTAGCGAACCGCCATCATTCCCTTTGTACTGCACTGGAATACAAAGAGAATGAATAAGTTTCACTCAAGCAGCTTCTTCCCACAAGCCGCTGCTTTGTGGAACTGACTCCCAAGAGGATGCTTCCCTTGACTACAACAATCTTAACCTCTTCATAAACTCTACTTCTTATTCTATAATGGCTTGCAGGCATATCACGTTGAAACAACAGTTCTCGTATGATTACTAAAGTTAAGCAATATTGAGCCTGGTCAGTACCTAGATGGGTGACCGCTTGGGAATATCAGGTGCTGTAAGCAGGGATGAGTTGGTGGTGTAATAGATAAAGGCTCGGAGTTGAAAATTAGAGAGCCAAGTTCCAATTTCAGTTGGGTCCATTATATACCCTTGAGAAAGGTATAAATCCACCTCTTCTCCCTCTAGCTATGGGTTAATTAGTAGGACTTGAATCAGTAAATCAATTATCTCAAAAAAATTCTTACAATCTAAAAATATTTTCTGGCTTTAAATAACCAACAAAGGGTTGGTAAGCCATAGAAAACAAATCAATCAAATATTATTCCATAATCCTCTACCTAGAGTGGTTCATGGGCCTTATACAGGGTGAACATCATTGTAAATTAAAATCAGTCATTGACAGGCCTACACGAACCAGTCAAGAGATTTTCTTCAGGAAGTATCATCTAACAGAATGAATTATGGTAAGAAATAGAGGAAGATATGAGATAAAAAAATATACAAACCTCGTCAATAATATTTGTATTTCCTCTCATGAGCAGCTGAAGAGCTTTGGCCATGTTTTTAGAGTTTTTCTCCAAAGATACGACATTGCATTTCATATTTCTGAATGCATGTGCCAATGCTTTTAATTGGTCCCATAAATCAGACAACTTCTCTGGCTCAGAATCTTTTAAAATATCTATGACCTCAGATTCCATTTCTTTGGATTTTCCTTCGTCGTCACTTTTCTCCTCTTTTTCCACCCTCTCTATTTCTTTCTTCTCTACTTCACTGTATTCCACGCCTTCCTCTTCTTTTTCTACGTCTTCACCTCCATCTTCTCCGCCGTCTTCTCCATCTTTTTCGTCTACTCCTTTTGCTTTTTTTGCCTTCTTATCATCTTTTCTTTTCCTTTTCGGTTGGGGATCTGCTTCCGGTGTGTTAGAAATTGTACTTAAAAAGTCGCCAACCATTTTGGTCAGATGTGAAGACGTACTAGTATCGCTACTAACAATTTGCTGAATTTTCTGAATATCATCTTCCAGTTTTTTCATTCGAATCAACAACATTTGGTACGGTATTTGAACTTGACTGTGTTTATGTTTGGGGGACTAGAAAGAAAAGAAATATAAATTCCATTAACATCAGTGCTAAATAATATATATATATATATATATATATATATATATTGAACAATAAAAAAATATTAAAAATTAAAATCTTCAGGTTGTAGATTAATATTCTTTCGTTTTTTTTGTTTTTTTTTATTATTATTTCATTTAGATTCCTCGACTAGTTTCGGCCAAAATGGCCATCATCAGGAGAAGAAATATTTCTGCTTGCTGGTAGCAGTAAACTACAGAAATGAATGTCTTGGTGGAGAAAATGAACTTTTGTCTGTAGTTTTCATTTGTTTTTTTTTATTTTTTTATCTTTTTAACATGAATCTTTTAACATTCCTTGTGTTGGTCAAACAGTCTCTTTTAAGTTGTTATTTGAGATAAGAGCAGGATAGATCCATGCTTCTCTGAATTCTCTGGTCAGTTTGACAGTTTTATTGGACCTGGTGAGTGGATGTGTCTCTGTTAAGTGTTTGTGTGTGTGTTATTTGGCTCTTAAGGAGTGAGTGAGTATGATATGTGTAAGCGTGTGTATTGCTGTGGGTGGGTGTTATCATTTGGCTCATTAGGGAGTGAGTGAGTGAGTATGATGTGTGTAAGTGTGTATATTCGTGTGGGTGTGTATATATATATATATATATATATAGAGAGAGAGAGAGAGAGAGAGATGTATAAGTGCGTAGGTATGCAGAAAATAGAAAAGAACACGTTGGGTGCATAATCCGGGGTTCCTTAGTATTTTTTGTTTTTATTTTTAATAAGACAGTGCTCCATACAGAAGTAGAACTTATATTATAATAATATTTTTTGTTTAAAAATATGATTCCTTCGCTACATAAGAGTTCTCATGATTCAAAAACGAGAGACGAAATATCCAAATAATTATTAAAATTAAGTTGGATTGTGGTGTTTAGTTCCGTTTCATCTTCAAGCGAAATTTTAGGAATAAGCTATCTCTCGGTTTACGTGTATTTTTAGGCCCGGTCCGTTACAGAATTCGTTATTGTGGGAGTGGCTAGACTATTTTCCTTCGTTAAGTGGTCAAAGAGTTAATTCTTATCAATAGATTCATCATCTTCTAAGAGGTTTTGGTAAGGTTGGGTAGGGTATCTATTTCAAGGCTAATGTTTGCGGTCACCCTTTAGTTAGTTCCCAGTGAGGGATATTTTTATGGCGCGCCTACAATCGTTATGTGTCTGGGGAATTGTCTTTTATTATTGTCCATCTGATTATCTATTTATTTATTTGTTTATTCAAGTGGGTCTCTCTGACCACTTAACGAAGGAAAATAGTCTAGCCACTCCCACAATAACGGAAATTATATATATATATATATATATATATATATATATATATATATATATATATATATATAAAATATATATATATTTATATATACGTTACGGTTATATAAACAAATCTTTGAGATATTTATTGAAAATCTATCCTATAATGATTCTATTTTTGTTTATGGCAGTGATTATTACATAACACAGACAAAACAGCAATTTGTAGCAAGATTTTTGATAGGGAAATACTGTTAAAATGTGTTAATAATTTGTCTATGTATGTGTCCAACTTAAACAACCCAAACTATAATATTTAGACCTGTTGAAAAATTTTTTGTAATATAATTTTTATTTATATTATTTTAGTTTGCGGAATTAATTTATGTACTAAACTTAAAAGATATAGTAATGGCAGCGTTGGTGCAATGATCTTGTTCCCACTCAATCAATAATACACCCACCATCTATGATACGGGGCCCCCCCACTCTACTACGTTTCAATTTTTATAAGGTAGCATTCATATAAGATAAAAATGTTATTGTAATGTAACCTAATTATGTACAATAATTGAGCATATGCAATATAGGTGAACAATTCAACTAGAAAAATTGAAAATAAATATAATGTATCTAAATACGAATTAGAGACACGTTATATTTGATCAGCAAATGTTGATAAGATAGCAAAGGTCACCAAGCACTGCCCGGGGCTCCCAATCAGCGTGATGTAATGTGTAACGGTTATTGGGAACTGGACCACACAAAAAGTTTGCAATTTATTTATTTTTGTATGACCTCCACATCGACACCACATCGGTTCGTGATAATGACTGTGAAAATCAAAAGTACTTGAACAAAAATAACAAAATATGAACTTCGGACAATTTATCCACAACCCCGCGCGGACATTTTATCTGAATGTTTGAAAACTACAATAAAAAATTAAACACAGAGACCTTCTTGTTTTTTTTAATCAAATTTGTTTGGATGAATACTTTCTGTCTAAATATACCCTATTCTTATATATATATATATATATATATATATATATATATATATATATATATATATATATATATATATATAGTTAAATTCCCAGATGAATTCCGTGGACAAGACAGATTGGTATCAAATGACAATTGAAAAAATCATACATTTTGCCGACGCGTTTCGTCTTCCGACTTTTTCAAGGCAAAAAAGAAATCGAAATGTTTTTGCTGTTATAGTTACATTAAAATTCAAAATTAAAAAGATGGACGCTTGTGTCTAAGCCTTTTTTCTGTTTTTTTAAATTTTTTTTTATTTTTATATATATATATATATATATATATATATATATATGAGAATAAGGTATATTTAGGCAGAAAGGGAATACTGCCTATATAACACGAAACCCAAAATTCAGATTCATTCTATTCTAGAAAAATGACTGGCGATAAAAGTTAAGACCACTACAATCAATGTGTTATTATTTTAGATTTTTGTTATTATTAGATTTATTTATATAAAATTACAGAAAGGAATACAACATTATAGTTGTTTTTAACATGGAATACTGCGACGATGAAGAAGGAAACTAAGACTTACCTCAAAAAAGGAATCGCGCTCTGTTTGCTGAAAAGAGAAAATAAAAATGAACATCAGGTCTAATTTAGTACAGATTCAAAATGTAATCGTGACACTTACCTTACAAGTCTCAACTAATCGCATCCCTTCATATCGCCCCAATAAATAAATGCTACTTTTGACGACAGGAGGAGGATTTCTGGGTTCTTTGTTCTGCATCACGAGTTTTGGCTATAGATTTTTTTATCCCTTTTCATTTATGTTCCCGGTAACTTTATATATAGAGAGAAGCAAGACAAAGACAGAAGCAGGATAGAAGATGACAATACAGACGAGGTCCGTTATGTTATTGGTCCTGACCTGGCATCTCGGATTCAGTCGCTTCCCACTGCCATAACATAGCTTCTCTGTACCTTTTAGTTATATAGGAATAAAGTGTCGCTTCCGACACTTGAGTTTGAACATAGATCGCCAGTGAGCAAACACAGGCGATCCCATTATTGAATTAATTGTATCACGTGATCATAGAGGAAACGCCTCAGTAAAAAGTATTGTGACGACTAACGACCGCTATTCTCTACTCTATTCACTGTACTATTCCTCTATTCGGATCACTACACGGATTACTATTCGAGCGAATATTATCGAGCAAGTGCTATTAATGTACGTATTATTCGAAGGCGTCTGATACCAGTTTTGATTAACGGCGTAACTGTAGTTGTATCTGCGATTACAAAGTCTCTAAGTTTTTCATTGCAGGATTTTGAAATTGGAGAGATGAAAATGAGATGAGGTATTACCTTAACCGGATATTGAACTCACACTCTTTGGGTCCTGTCACTGGATCTAACCAACGCCTTTATCCACTGTGGCAGTGGAGAACTTGGAGAGGAGAATTAACAGGAGATAACTGATAACTGACATCCATTAAACATGATATGTGGAACTAGAACAGTCTACCCCAGTGAGCGAAATAAAGGGTTCAGTTCGACATTCCAACCACCTGAAGAAGGCCGAAGTGTATAACGGCCGAAACGTTGTAATAAATATGGCGACAAAGATGAGGGCAATAGTCTGAATAATGTAAATAATGAAAATGGTA